TCTGGAGGCCCCCTGCCAGAACCTGCTGTATAGACTTAGCCAGTCAGTCCTCGACCTTATCTTGGCCTCAGTTTTCTCCCTTGTTCAGCGGGAGTGGTCCAGCTTGTTTTGTTTCATGATTCCTGGTTCCAAGTGCTGATGTTCTGGACCAGCGCCAAGGGCTCATGATGTAAAGAACTGGCTCTGGTTCTGACACTTTGCCCTCTTGTGGTGACACTCAGAAGTGCAGCCCTTTAATCCCACAGGGAGAGCTCCCTTCCTGAGGAGGTGGGGAGGCTGGGATAAAGGCTGGACTGCTGGTCTGTATAGAGTCCATCAGGACTGCATGCAGGTTCCTGTGCTAGCAGATACCAGTCATTGCCCCCTGCTCCTCTCTGCCTTTCCTGCCCTTCCTATAAGGAGCCAGCAGCAGGCCTTACAAGCTCTGGGCATCTCAGCCTGATGGCTTAGGTTGAAGCCCTTGCCTCACCATTTGGTAGCTTTATAATTAGTTCTGTTTACTCATATGAAAAACCAGGATATGAGGGTAGCTCCCTCTTGGAGTTTGTTAGGGCAAAACGGGAAACTGTTCTCAAAGGGCCTATGCAGTGCGGTGCTCAGCGAGTGGGGGCTGCGTTACTCATGTTTTGGTAATTAACATTCATAGAACATGATGGGTATTCCCAGGCAAGCAGGGAGCATCCACCAGCTGTCAGAGGGAGCTATGCCCTTAGCCGGGGCTGGGACTGTGTTAGGTGCCCTACTGTCATGCCTTCTGAACGGGGGTGTGACCTTTCAAAGCCACCCCAGGGTGCGTATCCCTGGGGTCTGGCTCCTGATGGTCCTGGGGGGACCCAGGTGCTGGAGAGCCCTCAGCAAAGGTCACTGCTGCAGCCTGTAGACGGGGGTGATTGTAGATATCCAGGCTGGAAGGGCCTCAGAGAGCCACATGTAGGATCTTGACACTCATGAGCCTCAAAGACCAGAGAGGGCTGGGGCCCAGTGCTGTTCTCTGGATGTAGGGCTGTCCTCGCCGCCCCTGTCTCCAGGCTCCAGGCCCCTTCTCTGAGCCCAGAACAAGGTCTCCCTGCCTCTGAGCCCATTTGCAATTACGTCTGGGGCTGACGGTAGCACTCAGGAATCCTGTAGGGCTGGCCCTAGACTTCCCACCCTGTCCTGTAATCCCCTGTTTACCTGTGGTCTCCCTTCTTGAGGTGAGCTCCCCATGGGCAAAGCGGGCCCAGCTGTATCTTCCCACTGAGCCCAGCAGGATCCTGGCCCAGAGAAGGCTCAAGAAAGTTCTGAGAACAGAGTACCTCCCCAAATTGTTGGATGGAGCTGCTAGCAGCCAGTAGCACCACGGCCGCCGGCCCTCCTACCCTACGTCTCCTGGGCCTTCAGTGGGGCCAGAGCCTGGCTCACCGTGTCCCCTCCTGGGAAACAGGCTCTCTGGTCATTCGTAGGGAGGAGCCTCCGCCTCCTGTGTCTCTTGTCCTGGGTCTGGCCTGCGGGAGTGAGTGGAGGAAGGGAGCCGACCCTCAGGCAGGAGGACTGTCATTGAAGCTGTGGCCCATCTGTGTTTATTTGTTGCTGGGTGGGAGCTTCTGCCTGCAGGGGGTCAGGGCACCTGACCTGGCTGGTCTGGAGGCTTCAAGGACTGGGAGGCAATCTCCAGGAGCTCCGGTCCCTAGGAGGCTGGAGGGAACAAGGTGTTCTCAGCTAATTGCACTCCGCCTCCTGGTGCTGCTGTGGTGATAGCTCCTGGGTCCTAGAAGGAGGAGGGGTGCCCTGGGGAGCTTATTACTGTGCCTTACCTCCCCTCCTGTCCCTGCTGACTGGGCCCCGTTTGTTGTCACCCCTCACTTTTGGGCCTGTTGCCCTGCAGGGCCTCCCCTGCCCCACCCACCGTTTTCTCCATGGAGCAGGGGTGCCCAGCCACTCCCACTCCCCCCATCCTCCTCACTCTGGGGATGCTGAACCTCGGGACACTGGTGCACCATGCCCACAATATGTAGTGCCCCCTCCTCCAGGAAGCCACCCCTTTACCTCTAGTTCTTGATGCAACCTGGGGCTGATGGGCACAGGATTTGAAACCAGCCAGACCTCGGTTGGATGCTTGGTTGGATGCTTTTGTGTGACACTGGGCAAGTCAGGTTCCTTCTCCTTGTCTTGCCGTAAACCTGACCTTTCTAGTCCCCAGAGTTGTAGGAGGATAAATGGAGCCTGTGGTGGGGGAGGGCAAGCCTGGTGGTATTTAGTGGCAATATACCTGTGTTCAATCCACCTCCCTCCCACCCACCCCTGGGTTCCCCACCTGTCCCTCTGTTCTAGTAGACACTTCTTGGCGGTGGGCCTCTCCCTCTTGTGGGATCCCTGGTAGGGGCATTATGGTCTGTCCATTCTCTGAGGGCGGGACAGTGGATTTCAGGTGACTGGGTTTTGTGGACCAGGAATCAGGATGTGACAGTGGGCTGGAGCATTTGCCATCAGGCCTGGTTCATTCTGGGTGCTCACCTCCCCCAGAGCCTGGTGCAGGCCCAGGCGTGGGGGCAGGCCTGATCCCTGCTCTGAGCCTCGAGCCTCGGGTGCCCCGGCCAGAGGAGGAAAGCCGAGCAGAAGTGAGTCCCTGGCTGTCTGAGAGGGAAGATTGGGGGGTGGCCGACATGTCCCACGTTATCTGCGCAGCTCATGCCTGTGAGCTACAGAGCAGGTCATTCAGCCCAGGTGACGGGGCAGCAGATGTACCCCACGCCATTCCCAACACTGGGGATAGAAGATGTACACAGGTACTGCGTTGCTGAAGGCTTGCTTAGCCTTAAACAACCGGTGTTGGGGTTTACTCTGTTTCCCTCTAGACTGTTTCTCCAGTTGGGGTTCAAGAGGCATTTGCATTGCTTTTCGGTACACAGTTTTGCAGTCACATAGGCAAGTTTGGAACCTGCTCTCCTCCTCTGTTCATTCCTACTCCAGGCTCTAGTGGGTCTTCCCAAGGTGTCCAGTGGCCAAGCAGAGAGCCATGGGTGGCCCTGGACCTGGCCCCACCTGCAGCCTTCTTCCTGCTTTCTCTCCTCCCTTCCCACTCTGGCCTCTCCAGCCCCACCTTTTTGAGGCCCAAGCCCTGGACACCTTCCACCCTCAGCCTCCTCCTGCTGGTCGGCAGCTGGCCCAGGCTGAGCCCAGGCTCTCCCCAGGGTCATATAACCCCTGGGTCTCCCCGGCGTCATGCAGGTCCAGAGATGAGGTGGGCATTCTCACTCCCCTTGGTGCAGCTTCCAGAACACACCCCCCCACTTGGCAGCCCGTATAGGCTGATGCCCTTGGCTCTCCACCACCTGGCCCTGCCCACCTTGTTGCCATTCCTTGTGGAACAGCTTCTACCCGGGCACCAGGGGCTTGGAGCCTCCAGTCTCCCAGCCTTTTCTGCCCAATGCTGCTGTGTCCCAGGGATTACCACACCCATGTGGCTGACACACTGCCCTCATCATCCTGGCCTCAGGTCCTGTTTGCGGCTCCATCAGCCTTTACCGTCAGCAGCCTCGGCCTCCTCTCTCCATGGCGGCCACAGCCCATGCCCGCATCTGCCCTTCCCGCAGGTGTTCTGCTGAAGGCCCAGTCTCCCTGGCTTCACCTTCCAGGCGTGTCCGTCATCCTGCACTTTAATACACACCTGCCCCTAAACCTCATTTTGGCTTCGGTCAGTGTTTGTGTACTCTCCCCATATGCACATCTTCGCCTCTGGCTGGCGTTGGCCTTGGGCCCTATCACATTAGTTCTCTTCTCAGTGCCATTCATTCATTCAATCATTCAACAAGCGGCTTCTGAGGGCCTCCTATGTGGCAAGCCCTGTTCTAGGTGCCGGCTTAACTCCACAGTAATTCCTCAGCCGTGTTGCTTCCCTCTCTTCTGCCCCTGAAGCTACAGAGTGAAAGGTTCTGGGAGGGTCAGGCAGCTTGAGGTCTTGCATCCTCTCGAATGCCCTTGGGGGACTGCCCCCAGCAGCCTCCAGAACTGACCTCATTTGAGATGTTTACAACAGGACCAGCTGCTGGGTGACCTCCTGCTGATCACGTGGCCAAGATCCCACTGACTGATTTAGCCTCCATCTAGCGGTTACTATGCTTGTGGTCCACTAGACCCTCCAGATCATTTTCAGTTGTTACACTTTGGCCTGTGCCTCTGTCCTCTTTTCTGTGTGTGGCGTGTCATGGCAGCTTCCCCTTTCCCCTCTCCCCCTCCCTCACATATTCCAGTTCTTCCATTTACTAGAATATGCTAGCTGAGCCCCTGCTTCCACCTTAGCCACTGTAGAACAGATGTCTGTCAGATTCTTTCTCAGCCTCAGGTCTCCTAGGGGGAAACTGAGTCTTGATGTGGATGGAATTAGTGCTGGGATTCATTGGAGAGGAGGCAGGGCCAGTGGACAGGACTCCTGTAGGTCAGTGATTCTCCCAGTCCCTGGACCAGCAGCATCAGCATCCCCCAGGAGGTTGGCAGAAATGCAGATTCCTAGGCCTGGTCAGCCCTGTTCAATCAGAAGCAGTGGGGGTGGAGCCTAGCGATCATGTTCTAGGTCCTGCAGGGGATTCTGATGAGGTCTAAAGTTTGCCAGCAGGGTTAGGTGAGAGATGGAGGTGGCCAGGCTGGTCCTGGCGCTGGGGCTGGACTGGAGGGCTCCCAGGGCCCCTGGGAGGCGGAACGAAGGCCTTGGCGGTTGGGTGTGGAGGGCTGAGGGTGAGGCTGAGCTGAAGGCGAGGTGGCTTCAGGTTCTGGCTGGGGTGGAACCTCTCCCAACAGCAGGCCCGCTCTGTTCCTTGTCCTCCCTCCCCTCCTGTCAGGGGGTCTTGCAGCCTCTCCAGTGCACCCCTGCTCCCCAGCTCCCTCCCCTTCTTACTGCCCCAGGCACCCTCCCTTCTTCACAAACAAGTCCTTCTGTGGGAGTCAGGTTGTCAGGGCTGTTACCACAGCAATTGACATCAGCAGCCTGGTCCCTGAGGAACCTGTCGCCCTTCTGCCCGCTGGCTATGCCTCAGTTCCTGCCTCTTGGAGGAGGAGAGAGAAGGTGTGGGGGGCCTCCCACCCCCATTTTGAGCACTGGGCAGGGCAGGGCTAGGCTGGGCCTAGGGGCAAGGAGAGGGGAGGGGCCCGGGGAGGGCCAAAGGGTAGGCGGGGCGTCCTCCGGGGCCTCTGGCCCTGGCGGTGAGGCCCCTGCACACAGGGCACACGGGGCTCCTAGGCAGCGTTGCAGCAGCAGCACCCAGCATGGCGGAGGACGGGCCGAAGCAGCCGCAGCTCAGCATGCCCCTGGTCCTGGACCAGGACCTGACCAAGCAGATGCGGCTGCGCGTAGAGAGCCTGAAGCAGCGCGGGGAGAAGCGCCAGGACGGTGAGAAGCTGCTGCGGCCGGCTGAGTCCGTCTACCGCCTGGACTTCGTCCAGCAGCAGAAGCTGCAGTTCGAGCGCTGGGACGTGGTGCTGGACAAGCCGGGCAAGGTCACCATCACGGGTACCTCCCAGAACTGGACGCCCGACCTCACCAACCTCATGACGCGCCAGCTGCTGGACCCCGCTGCCATCTTCTGGCGCAAGGAGGACTCGGAGGCCATGGATTGGAACGAGGCCGACGCCCTGGAGTTTGGGGAGCGCCTATCGGATCTGGCCAAGATCCGCAGGGTCATGTACTTCCTCATCACCTTTGGCGAGGGCCTGGAGCCCGCTGACCTCAAGGCCTCTGTGGTCTTTAACCAGCTCTGACGGGTGCTGCTGGCTGCCTCGCCCTCCCCATGCCTGCCCGCCACCCCCTCCCCTGCACGTGCTCCCTTACCCCAGGCATGTGTTGGAGGACATTCTTCTAGCTGCTGATCTGCCCTCAGCATGCCCAGGACCCTCTGAGCCTGTGTGCTTCCTCCTCTCCTTTCCCTGGTGCTGGCATTCCTGCTCCCGTGAGGAGGATGCAGAGGTCCTGTAGTCTAGAAGCTGACCTGGCTGCCGCTGCTTCTACTGTAGACCATGGAGGCGTGGTGGGGCCCAGGGCATGTACCTTCCCTCTGCTTCGTTGTCCGAAGAGAGACTCAGAGAGACTGACAGAGACAGACAGACACAGAGAAAGAGATCCAGAGCACCAGCCTTCGGGCTTCCTCAGGAGACGGAGAGACAGACGACAGAGCGGCTTCCCTGGGGGATCACTGCTCTCCTGGCCGCAGTGCCCTTCGCTGAATCCCAGAGGTGAACAGTGAGCCTGAGGACCCAGGAAGGCACCGCTCCTGGCCCGGGCCTGGCATGGTCCCGGGATGCTTCAGGGGCCCCAGGACTTCAGGCAGCATTGTGGGGGCTGATCTGGGGCAGTGGGGAGCAGCTGGCAGGCTCGAGGCTGTGCTTGCCAGCTCCTGCCCTACTGGGGATGACTTCAGGGGGGTAAGTGGCAGGGAGGGGACATGTGAAAAAGTTACGTAGAGATGCATCTATCTGCACGTGTGCTTATATACTGAGAGAGAGTGCTGTGTTCATGGCTATGTTCTAGAGCCTGTACCTGCGAGCAAGTCTGATTTTAGATGATCTACTGTGTATTGCCCAATTGGTTCATGGGTGGCCCTTAGTAGAGGCTTGGTCCGGATGACCTTGGGGAGGGGGGCTCCTGAGCTGAGAGCCTCTGAGCTTCATACAGTGAAGCAGGGAACAGCATAGTGAAGGGATTTCCCTCTGCCAGGGGGAAGCAGGAGAGAGGGGTCCAGAGCCCTGGAGCTGGAGTCAATAGATTCTTGGGGGCCTCAGTATCCCTGCTGGGATGTGAGGTTTTTCCCTGCTCCCTGGGCAGGAAAGGCTCAGGCCCAAGGGGCACCTCAGGAAGTACCCCCAACACTCTGTCTGTCTCTAAGCCAGATCTGGGTGGGTTTTTTTTTTTTTTTTTTTTTGGTCAGGAAGAGGCCCATGACACTTTGCTCATGAAGCAGACCCAGCGAGGGCCACAGGGCCCAGCGAACAGACGCACTGGGAGAAGGCAAGAGCCATCCACAGTGGCTGGAGCTGCTGGGAGGGTGAGCCCCATTCGAGGCGTGCAAACAGGAGTGGGGTTTGGGAATGGGCATTCTTTAGGTGGGGATTGGCTGTGGTGTTTCTGACTCTACGCTCGGGGGTCTGTTCCTGGCGGGCTTGAAGTCCCAGTCTGATGGCCAGTAGGGCCAGCCGGAACCCCAGATATGGCCCTGCCCTTCGCCTCTCTGCTTGACCTCCCCCTGCAGCTTGGGGGCCCTCTTACGCAGACTGTACCCTCACCCTGAGCCCCCACATCCACTCCTTGCACTGTGTGTCCCCAATAAAGCCTCTGTGCCCTCACCTCGTGGTGTGCAGTGTCTCACCGCGAGCCACCCCTGCCCCTCCCCTCAGGAGCTCTGACAGCCGTCTCCAGTCCCCGCAGAGCCCTGAGCATCCCCTCCTTGGCCTTTTCCCGCATTCCCACACCCTTCCCCCGGCTGCTGTCAGAGATGAGGCCTGGAGCAGTCAAGGGACTGGCCCATGGTCAGACATCAGGATAGAGTTAGAACCAGGTCTCCTGATACTCAGTGGGGTACCAACACCCCTGGCAGGTTTTTCCCCTGGAGCCCCCAGTACGGCCTCTGTCTGAAGTGTGGGGACATGCTGAGGCCACTGAGAGGTGCCATCTGGTCCTCAGCAGGTGGGGCCCAAAGGAGCTGGGTGGGGATGCACCAAGCCACACACAGTCTCCAGGGCCCCTCCCTGGTGGGCTGGCTGGCCAGGGGGCAGATGGGATGGGGAGTGGCAGGGGTGGGGTGGGGCTAGGCCTACATCGCCAATTTAATGCATGTCCTCAGGCAGCCCCTGCCCCGCTGACCAGACAAGAATGATGTTACTACATCCCTTTAGTGCCCACTTGGCCCTTCTCTAGAGCTCTTTCCCTTGTCATCTCTCTGGAGCTCACTCAGTTTTAGGACAGAGACAAAGAGGCCTGGAGGATGAAGCCATCTGCCTAAAGTCACAGAAGGCGTGGAGGGGTCAAAGGAGGTGGCTGTGTTTGGACCAGGCTCTGGGTCTGCGGCCCCCTCAGGTGGGCAGGGGGAGGCCCGCTTCTTCCCAGTGATGGAGGTCACATCTTGCTTCAAGGGCCACACTTGAGGTTTTGCCTAGGAATGACCGTTTCTTCAAAAGGCTCCATACAACCAGATCTCACTTCCCAGTCCTCCACCCCGGAGCCCTCCCCAGAGCAACTGTGGCCATCTTGTTTCCCTTCCCGAGCCCTGCTCTTCCAGCCCTGGCCTCCATCCACTCCTGAAGATCCCTGTGGAAGGGGTGGGGGCAACAGAGCCCAGCCCTTCCACTCCTGCTCCCCTCTCTAGCTTGACAGCCGACATTGGGCTGGGAGGATGCCAGGAGTGGGAAACAAGGACCCATTTTCCATGGAACCCACAGGAAACCGTAGAGAGAAGAGACCTGCCATCTCCTGAGCTTCTTCCTCCCACTGAGGCAGCGAGTGCTGTGCTGAGGGGCCTGCCACTGACCACCTGTGTGACCCTGTTGGCAGGGACTAATGATGATGCCTCCTTGTACGGCGGCCCTTGTGAAGTCTGAATGGGTTCATGTTAGTGAAACTCTCAGGGCCTCAGGAAGTGGCCACACAGCACCGTCTCTCCATTTGCTCTTCGTGACTCTCCCAGTCACTTGAGACACACGGTCTTTTCAGTTATTTTGAGAGGATTGTCAGGAGAACCTATTTACAGAGGAACAGCGCAGCAGGTTTCCTGAGGTAGCCCAGCAGTCCAGTGCTTCTGGGAGCAGGTGGTGTGGGGTGGAGGGACAGACAGGGGCCAGGCCTGGCCCTGGTTGGAGTGGACGAGAGGGCATGGATTCTCCTGTGCCATCATCACCAGGCTCAGGATGGCCCAGCAGAGGGGATCTTTAGCCCGCATGGTGTAGCTGGGCAGCCCAGCAGGAGGGGGCCTGCCCCGACCCTGGAGTCCTGCCCTGATCCTGGAGTCCTGCCCGGGTCTCTGAGCGTACGGCTGGCCCTGTGGATGGGAAACCCCAGACCCCTGCAGATGCATCACATCCTCACTCTGCGTGGGGAGCGACGGGGCTCTGCTTTCCCAAGGGTGTGGGGAGTAGGGTTGGGGGACCCAAGCTTCCTGACCTCTTCCCGTCATGGCCTCTGAAATCTGGGAATTTGAGACTCTTGCAATCAGAAGTTGAGAACTGAGGAGCTTCAGGTGCTTGAAACCAGGAACCCTCTATTTTATCCACCTGACTTGGGTAACACAGGCACCACCTGCCCCCTGCAGCCCTTTAGACCTTAGCCCTACCGGCCTTGGGCGGAAATGCCCCCAGCTGGCCCTCTGGGCTCCCAGGCAGAGATCTGTGACAGTGCCTTCCCTGTGCCATGCTTGCATGCACGCTGACACTCACAGACACGTGATGCCCGTGTGCACACGCACATACACTGGTGCTCACACACACGCGTGCTGTGTACACCACGTGCACTGCCATTCATGCACTCGCACACTCAATGCAGGCGTGTCCCACTGGCTCAGAGTCAGAGGGGTATTTGAGCCGGGAGTGCTCCAGGCCCTGGGGCCCCATGGTGCCTGCCTTGCCTGAGCTTTCTGGGCTGATTCTGTAGTGGGTGCCAGGGGCTTTCCAAATCCTCCATAGTCCTTGCCTTGCTACCAGCTCAGCCCAAGTATGTGCGTTGAGCCCTCAGGCCTCTCTTTTCCCATCTGCGTGGGGGGACTGTTGCTGAGGTTCCCCTTGGGAGGGAAGCTGCCCAGGTCACCTGAGCCCCTTGCCAGCCCCAGGGTTTGCAGGACGTTGTGTGGGCGCACGCACTTGTCCTGTGTTCCCCAGCAGGATGAGCCCTCCTCACAGGTGTCTCCACAGTTAAGGGCTCCACGTGAGCCCTCCACAGTTAAGGTGACACCCCCAAAGCCACTGTCAGTCCTGGGTTTCCCAGCAGCCCTGGGGTAGGGGAGGCAGAGGCCAGCACTGAGGCTCAGAGTGGTGGCCAGTTGAAGCGAAGTCCCGGCCATGCAGTGTGGTTGGGCAGGGGTCCAGTAGCGGCTGCAAGGTCACTGGTTGGACAGGGCCCTGCTGCGGCTGGCACTTGGAGACTTTTCTTCCACAAAGACTTGTCCAGCTGGGGAGCCGACCTCTCTATGCAGGGCGTGGGGGGGATCTGGGAGTGAGTGGGGCTCAGCCCCGCCCTCCAGAAGCTCCTTTCTGGAAAGGGAAAGAGGCTGGGGAGGGGCTGCCCTGGGAGCACCAGGCCCGGAGAGCCCTGCATACTGCTGCTCAGCTCACCCCCCGAGGGACAAGGAAGGTACCGGAGAGGGAGCCATGTGTGCAGAGCCGAGGTGGCCTGAAGCATCACGGGCGTAGATTTTCTGGGAGCCTGAGGTGGGAGGCAGTATTGGGGGGTGAGGCCGAGAGGGTCAGCAGAGCCTCAGGGCTGTGACTGCTGGGCCAGGGAGCTGGTGGCCCTGGGGATGGGGCGTTTTAGCTGGAGACAACATGGGAGGAGAGAGATGGCTTACTGTGCTCCCTGCTGCCCGTCCCTCCACCTCAACAACTGTCAGCTCGCTGCCACTCTTGTTTTCCTCTTATTCCCCTCCCCCCACGCCCTCCAGGCAACATATCATTTCATCTGTAAATATTTCCCAGTGCATCTCTGGGTAATAAGGGGTCGCCAAAAACAAAATAAAATAAAACAAAAACAAAACTCTGTAACCGCAATATTAGAACAACTAAAA